TTCTGCATTCAATCTTTTGCAATATCAGTGTCAACACTGAGAAAAATAAGGGTGAAAAAGGTAAATAATATTTTAGTCATGTTATGAAAATAGTTTTGATTTTCCAGACTCCTTGAGGTCCCCCACTTTGAGGACAGCTGGCATACAGATTGTTTCTAGGTTTTTACCATTACGGATGCTGCTAGTGACCCATTTGTTCGTATACTTGGCACTGTGTGAACATGTAGGCTAATTTCCAGAACTGTTAGACCAAAGAGTAGTATGTGTTTAAAAGTCTTTTAGATACAGATAAAGTGACCCTCCCCAAAAGTTGTGCTGGTTGTCAGTCTTGGTATTAGTAAAAAAAGAATTTTTTTTTTTTTTTTTAAGAAGTCTGTGTGCAAATATGGACTCGTAGGCCTATCAGAGCTTCTTTGACATAGACTCCGACAAGCATTTGCTGTGTAGGAATACACTTTAGCTCACCTGAGGGTGTTTGATTTTGCTACTGGTCTGAATGATAGATTCTGCAGTGACAAATTGAATTCCATGTATTGATGCATTCCTTTTAGTTTGATCATGGTCTTGATTTTTCTTTGTGTCCAGTATATCCTTGCCAACTGGCTTTTCTCAAGTCTTTGATATTGGGGTTTGCTGTGTAGGCTTGTCTTTCTCTAGTCTGTGTGACAGAGTGTCTTTGTCAGACGAGGAGGAGGTGTCATGGAGAGGGTGAGAGTGAATTCTTCTTGGGGGATAAGGCATCTTTTATTGGAGAGGATGGGTATGTTTCTCAAATGAAGTTTGGGTGGGGACTCTTGTGCATATGTGCTTCAGTTATTAAGCTAACATTGGACCTACCTGGTATCAAAAGCATGTGTTCTCCTTAATGAGAACCAACTCTACCTCCTGCAATGTTGCTTGAGGTCTGCTGCTACGGATCATCTTCCTCATTTCTCCCCTGTTGTCTCTGCTACCATGATAAATGCCTCTCACCTACAGTTGAACTCTATATCCCCAGCCATACCCATATATTACTAGGATGAAATGGCTATTCCGGGTACTGTAGCTATAGCAACTGAGACAAGTAAACTTGGGAGAAAGGATTGTGTTAATGCGTATTAACACTCGACTGGTTCTTTTTCAGTTAATTGGAGAAGTGCTCATAACTTGATCTAGTAGAAACTAAGAGATAGGGGAAGGGAACCTACCTAATAGATAGCCTAGATATAAAACTAGAAATATGTCTTTGTTATTATCTTAGCCCCCAAACTAAAAGGCAGTTTCCATGCTTCACCCTCTGCAGCCTACTTACTGCTTTCTTAGGGAGCATGGTATTTGGGGACCAGAGGTGGACTTCCTAAGGTGGTATATTAGGTCAAAGCCATGGGATGTGACTGAAAATGTGTTTCAGAAGATACTTCCCTTGAACATCTTGAGCGGCCCAGAAAAAAGAAAAACTTGCCAACATCAGAAGCTTCTAGTTATGTGCTTATTCTTGCTTTAGCTAGGGCTTTTAGAGGGAACACTTGAATTTGTGGTTTTTCCTTTCTAATTACCCATAACCCTGTAATTTTATGGAGAGAGAGTTTTGAAGCAAATGCAAAAGGAGTTGGTACCTGAAAAATAATAGTTGTACCACTACCACTTTTTGTTCTTAGAGCGGCCAGGTCAGGTGTGTGTTTTTCTTTCTTTCTTTCTCTCTTTCTCTCTTTCTCTCTTTCTCTCTTTCTCTCTTTCTCTCTCTCTCTCTCTCTCTCTCTCTCTTTCTCTCTCTCTTTCTCTCTTTCTCTCTCTCTCTCTTTCTCTCTCTCTCTCTTTCTCTCTCTCTTTCTCTCTCTCTCTCTCTCTTTCTCTCTCTCCCTTTCTCTCTCTCCCTTTCTCTCTCTCTCTCTTTCTTTCTATTGAAGTATAGTTGACACACTGTTACAGGTGTGGTTTTCGAAAGCACAATTTGAAGTGATAACTCCACCCCTCTGTTTACCCCTACTCTTGAACCTTTTAAAAAACTTTTCAAGTGTAATACATCAAAAAGGCACATAGATCGTAAGTATTCCGCCTGATGAATTTTTGCAAAATAACCAGCACTCTGGAAGCCTGTCCCTTCTCAGTCACTATCTCCACCTGTGTATGAACACCACAGGTTAATTTTTGCTAGTTTTTAAATTTTATGTAAATAGAATTATATGGTAGATATTTATAAGATTGACATATTTGGTTCACTCATTAACACTGCTGTGTGGTATTCTACCAAATGAGTATTTACACTTTTTCAAAAACATTGTTCACATGCCATATAATTCATCCATTCAGAGTGTATAATTCAGTATTTTTCAGTATATTCACAGTATTATGCAACCATCACCACAATCTAATTTTAGAATATTTTGTCCTCTCTGAAAGAAATCGTGTAACCATTAGAAGTCACTACCTATTCACTTCCCTTTCCTCCCCAGCCCTAAACAATCACTAACCTACACCTCTTTCTCTGATTTGTACACTCTGTACATTTCATATAAATACAGTCATAGAATATAGGCCTTTATGATTGGCTTCTTTCACTTGTAATGTTTTCAGGTTTTATCCATGTTATGGCGTTTTTGTTTTTGTTTTTTTTTTTTGTATAGCTGAATAGTATTTATGCATTAGTTTTTGGACATTTGGATTGTTTCCACTTTTTTGCTGTTATGAAAAAGTGCTGCTAAGAAACTACATGTACACATATTTGTGTGACCATACATATGTTTTCATTTCTCTTGGGTATATACCTAGGAGTGGAATTGCTGGTAACTCTAGCAATTGAGGAACTGCCAAACTGTTTTACAAACTGGATGCCTTTTTACATACCTCAAGCAAAATGTATGAGGGATCCAATTTCTCCACATGGTTGGCAACACTGTCTTTGATTATAGGCATCCTAGCAGGTGTTAAATGGTCTTATTTGTGGTTTTTATTTGCATCTCTTTAATGACTAATGATGTTGAGTATCTTATGTTCATGGTCCGTTTGTATATCTTTGGAGAAATGTCAGTTCAGATTTATTGACCAAAATTGGGTTGTCTTTTTATTATTTAAGTTGTCAGAGTTCTGTATAAAAATCCCTTAATCAGATATATGATTTCAATGATTTTTCCCCACTCTATGGGTTGTCTTTTCACATTCTTGATGGTGTTATTTGTAGCACAGATTTTGATTTTGATCCTATCCAATTATCATTGATCAATGATGTCCAATTTTTTCTTTTGGGTAGATCATGCTTTTATTGCAGCTTAACTTTTTTTTTTTTTTTTTTTTTTTTTTTTGGTTCATTTATTTTGAGAGAGAGTCCACATGAAAGTAGGGGAGGGGCAGAGAGAGAGAGAATCCCAAGCAGTTCCTGTATCGTCAGCAGAGCTTGACACGGGGCTCAAGCCCACGAACCATGAAATCAAGACCTGAGCTAAATTTGGACACTTAATGACTGAGCCACTGGCGCCCCTGTGCAGTTTAACATTTATTCATTCATTCATGTAAAGGTTTGTTTATTTTGAAAGAGAGAGAGAGACACAGAATCCAAAGTAGGCTCTGAGTCAGCACAGAGCCTGATGCAGGACTTGAACCCATGGACCGCGAGATCATGACCTGAGCCAAAAAGTCAGACGCTTAACCAACAGTACCACCCAGGCGCCCCTAATTTTAAAGAGGCATTACTTATTTTGGTTGTAAGACACAAGACCTCTTGGATCTTTAATCCAGTTTCAGTCTGTTATTTATGTAGTTTTTTGAAGATGGATTGTTTTTGAGGATGTGATAGGTATTTCAAGTAGGTTTTGGGAATGTATTTTCTGCTAGAAACCACGTTTTGAGTATAATTGTATGCCACAACTCATCTATAAAAAGTTAAGTTTGATCCATAATGTACCTGAATACTCTGATTTCACTGGGAAACGACAGATTGCAATTTCTGTTCTAGTATTTACAGGAAACAGTGGAGGAATATTTACAAAGATAGTTGAAGGCTTTTAATAATGTTGACTCTAGACATTCATGTCCTTGCTGCTTTTTCGTGTTATGAATGCAACACTAGACAACTTCTAATTACACAATTTAAAAGTCCAATAATTGTGCATAAAGAAAATTGAAGCACGGGGAAATTTATCAAAGTTTATTTTTTAAGGGGGGTCTGGGTGGCTCAGTCGGTTAAGTGTCTGGAGCCTACTTCGGATTCAGTGTGTCCCTGTCTCTCTTCCCCTCCCCTACTCATTCTCTCTCTCTCTCTCTCTCTCTCTCTCTCTCTCAAAAATAAATATTTTTTTTTTTAAGTTTACTTCTGAGATAGAGTGTGCAGAGAGCAGGGGACAAACAGAGAGAGAAAGAATCCTCGACAGGCAGCACAGAGCCCGACGTGGGCTCGAACCCACGAACCGTGAGATCATTACCTGAGCTGAAGTCAGACACTCAACCGACTGAGCCACCCAGGCGCCCCAACAAAGTACTAGTTATTTCCTGAATATCGCAAGTCTTATGATATGGCCAGGGGGAAAAATACAGAAATGTGCAAATTAAAATTAGTTTACTATCAGAAAACAATTGATTATTTGAAGATGGAGAAGTCTGGCAATTCTGGAACAGAAGTAAGAGACTTTCTGAAGGTGAAGCATAATGTGGGGATGTACTGGGGAAATGGATCGTATCCAAGTCCTGTTGTGTTTCAGAGATTTAAACCCAGGTCATCCTGCTACGTGCTGTGCCATGTCACTACTCTGTGCTGCCCGTAAGGTGTTAGATTTCTTTTACCACCCATTCCTCACTCTTGAGATAATTGTGTTCTTCTTGTTAAAAGTAAACATAATATATCAAGTATTTGTTGGGTTACAAGTTTTATTATATTTAAAATTGTTTTTAAAACACCGTTTCCTTAACTGAAGTTACATTTGTATCAAGTGTTCAGGAAAGGAAATGTGTGTGTATGTGATGGAATGTAATTGTGCTGCTTTGCAATCACATAATGGAATGTTTTGTTTTGTTTTTCTTTTGTTTCCCAGGTTCTCTGCTTTTAGAGTCCAAAATAAATCCTAACACCGCATATCAGAAACAACAGGTAAAAATGTGAAGATGTTATGTTTTACCTTGTATGTTATCCTCTCAGTTTGGTGATTAAATGAAAATTTACCATTACTTGCAATGAGAAATTCAAAACAGGTTACAACATACTTTCCTAGTCTAATTCTAAAATGTGATTTCAACCAATCTCTGTATAAAGCAATCATTTTATTTTAAATTAAAAAAAATACTTCAAGTTAAACTTAGTTTATATTTCAGATATTCTAGCAACTAAGATTTAATTCTCAAAAGTTAAAACTAAAACAGTATAGTTTTCTGGTTTCTCCCTAAAGAAAAAAGTGGCTACTGATATAATCAGCTATTAACACAACGAAATGGTAGAAACTGCTTTCTTTGCTGTTGTAGATGCTAGTGCAGAAGGGATATTTCTGTCCCTATACAGCAATCCAGTGTAGGTAAGAGTCTGATTTCTTACATAGCCTGAATAGGACCTTATGGTAGTATAACAGTGATGCAGTTTGTTAAGACAACTTTGAGTTTCAGTATGCTCTTTCTTGTATCCTTCAGAGAGCAAGTGATACCTGAAAGTAAATCTTTCTCTATTTGGTACCTAGTAGCACTGTCGTCAAAGGGTATTTATTCAGAACACACACACACACACACACACCCACTGAGTGCTGTACAAAGCCAGTAAAAGCAGTATCAGTCCCCGCATTACCCTGAAGGTATAGATATAAAATAATTTAGACTAAAGGCTATTACCAATGCATTCATATGTGTATATTACTTTATAAATATATTAATCTATAAATAAATTGTAAAGTGCTTTGCTTCATCACTGACCATTAAAATACTACTAGAGGAAAGTTAGTGTTGGCTTTACTTTGCACATTAGATCCCTAAAGATTGTGACTTGGTTGAGGTCACACAGAGAGTATATGGGAAAGCTGATATTAACTCCTAAATCTGTTTAGTGGTGATGTATTTGTCCAACAAACATTTGGTACAATTGAAATATTTTCTTGATAGTCTAATGTTCTGCTAACACTGTTGCATTTAGTGATCTTAAGAAAACCATTAAGATTGGTTGATTGGAGTGGCTGGAGACTAGAGTATTTGCCATTGCTATTCTATCCCTAAATACATAAATTAGTGTTTTGAGGTTTTAGTTGAAGAGTAAAAGTCATCTGAGGAAAAAGGAAAGATCAAGTCTATTTTGAGGATGAATGAAGAGCTCCGTATGTCTTAACCTATAGGTTAATGTTGGATGATAAAAAAGATGATTTTAGGCTCTTTAAGGAAAACAGAAGAGCAATTCCTAAAAATTTTCAAACTTCTAAATTTGTCAAATGGACAGTTAAGAGCATATGTCTAACTGTGCACTGATATTTTTTGAAGGTTATTTCTGTATTTTTATTTAACTTTATTTTTTATTTTTTAAAATTTACATCCAAATTAGTATATAGTGAAGCAATGATTTCAGTAGATTCCTTAATGCCCCTTACCCATTTAGCCCATCCCCCCTCCCACAACCCCTCCAGCAGCCCTCAGTTTGTTCTCCATATTTATGAGTCTCTTTTGTTTTGTCCTGTTTTGTCTCTTAAAGTCCTCATATGAGTGAAGTCATATGATTTTTGTCTTTCTCTGACTAATTTCACTTAACATAATACCCTCCAGTTCCATCCACGTGGTTGCAAATGGCTAGCTGTGCACTGATTTAAGCCTGTAGATGAATCTGAATTTACATTGTACCAGAGTAATTGCTTATGGTTGTATTAAATCTGTCTTATTACTAATGTGATCATTGGTTTTAGGTTTGTTCCAGTAGGTGTTATATTATCAGCAGTTTTCATAACAGTATGTATTCTACCTATTTTAAAGATGAAGCAGACTCTAGGGGGTTTCCCAACTGACTAATTTCTGGTGTGTTGATCTTACAATGTTAATATAAATTATTTTGAGTTTGAACTGCTGCTCAGTCACTGTGGAACAGATGCGTGCCTGGTATCTATGATCTCTAGAAGTTCTTGAGGACAGTAAAAAGGAGTCTTTGAGCTGTTTTTTAAAATTTTGAATAAAAATTGTGGATTTATTCTATTAGTAATACTGCACAGCCTATTCAGATGATCATTTATTTACTTCTGGTTGGCATCACTGTAGTTCAGCGAGAGACTGCTGGTCCTCATGATGGACAGTTACATAATTGACTGAAAGGAATTAATATGCCAGTTAGGAGACAAATTTTTAATCAGGGGATCCTTCTGTGTACAATAAGGGGTATCTTTGATAGGGAAAAGTATTAGAAGCTTCCTCCATGTAGACATATCTTTTAAGTTACCTTAAAGATGGACTAGCCATGTTTCCTTCTTAATACAGGAACCTTTTATCCTTCTGGTAGATGCTCACCTAGCCTTTGCTTGGCTCCTTGCCGTTATTTCTTAGATTGAATTGTGTTTTCTTTATGTTGTACTCACATCCTCCTAATTCTGACTTCTCCTAATTCTTTTCTTTGGACCAGCCTGAAAAAAATGCTATATGGTAGCTGTTCCATTAGGCTTCTTTTTGAATGTAATTCTCCTTGGTACCATTCAAAATTTCATATATGGGTCACAAACCTCTCTCAGTTGGAGGGCTTATTTTTGAAATAGTTGATGACTCCGGAACAGTGTATATGCGTATTACTGTCAGTAAGTTTGAAAAGATATCTTAGACCCTGTAAACATTTTTACTATTCATTAAACTTATTACCATTAAATAAAAGCCTGTCCAAGTAGGAGCAAAGGAGTTGTGGGTGGTAGGAGCATCTTGCTTTTTGAACTACAGCACTTCGGTGAAGGTTAAAAAACTTTCTGCCCAGATAAGTGCTCACATATTACAGATTTAGCCAGTAATTTCATGGGCTTCAGGTGCCCCAGGTAAAGAACATCCAATGTTGACAACAGAGAGATGAGAGAAGGAATTTTATTAATCCCATCCTCCTAACGTGCCCTAATTAATGAATGCTCAGGCTTCCTGTCTGGGCATTGTGACTAGAGCATAAAATGTAACTAGTGTGCAGGCAAAGGATTGATACAGTGTTTAGGTATGTATCTTTTAGTACATTTAGATTGGTCGCTTTGTAGTACTTTTTATTTATTTGTTAACTTCTCCTTAAGGAAAACATTGTTTTCATTTTATAGGCAGGTATACAGAGGCTTGGCAATTACCAGTATGGATGTTGCTGAGTACTGTTCACACGCATTTCCTTGTTGCTTTGTTTATTTAAGCCTTATACTTTAAAGTAGTTTGTGATAATTGATACTAACCAGACTTTTTTTTTTCTCTCAAGGATACTTTGATTGTGTGGTCTGAAGCAGAAAATTATGACTTGGCCCTTAGCTTTCAAGAAAAAGCTGGATGTGATGAAATTTGGGAGAAAATATGTCAGGTAATTTTAGGAAACTAGAAAGTTAACATGCTCTCTGAGTATATTGTTTTTTGCTGCGCTTTTAGCTAATGCCCAAGATTTTAAATAGCATTTCATATTTCTTAAATTCACTGTTGTCTGTGAAAAGCTTGATTTACAGGCAAGTGCAATTTATCTACCTCAATCTGTGCTGAACTCCACACTTTCATATCCAGCTCTTTGAGAGCTCCTCCATGAGTGTTCACTAGTGTCTCATTTAATAGTTCAGAACCGAACATAATCTCATCTGAATCTGTTCATTCTCCCATTTCCCTCATCTCAGTAAATGCCATCCAGTTGCTGAAACCAGAAACTTGTGGGTCATATTTATCCTTCCTTCATCACTTAACATCCATTCAGTCCTTCAATTACAAATTTTAAATTCGTTCACTTTATTTTCACTGCTAATCACAATTTACTAAGCCACTGTCATTTCTTGCCTTGTTTATTGCTTTCACCCTGACTGGTGGTCGCAAATCCATACCACAGCTAGAAGGATCTTTTTAAAAATGCCAATCTGATCTCACTTTGTTCAGTAACTTCTAGTAGTTCTTGACTATCTGTTCCACCTCATCTTGCGTGTTCTCAGTTGATTCTGGAATTTCCTAGTGACTCTGGTACCTCTGGTCACATGATCTCCACCGTCTTGTCGGGTATGCATTTGTCATGCACTCTGTTTTGCATTTATTATATGCTAAAGCCACTGGCTCTTGTTATAGACTCATTTAAACGATTGCATCCTAAGGACAGTTTCTCAGTCTCCACATTTATTTTAATTGGAGAATAATCTTTAGCAGGTTCTTTAATTTATTGGTTCTCAAAGTGTGGTCGTCAGACCAGCAGCATGACCTGAGAACAGATAGAAATGCAAATTCTGAGACCCCCCACCCTGAGACCTACTGAATCGGAAGTTCTGTGAGTAGGTCCTAGTAATTGTATTTGAATTACATTTGAACAAGCCTTCCAGGTCACATTTTTCTCTGTAAAGGGCGGGATAGTAAATATTTCAGGCCTTGTTGGCCATGCAGTTTAACAGCCATTCAACTCTCCTGTTGTAAAATGAAAGTAGCCACACGTGATGCATACCTAACGAGCGTGGTTCTCTGATAATAAGATTTATTTACAAAAATTGGTGGTGGGCCATGTTTGGCTATCATTTGTCAGTTCCTGTTTTAGGTGATTCTCAATGCCCCCTGAAGTTTGAGAGCCATCGCTTTAATAAAACTGCAGTGTCCTTGAGGCACAGTGTTTCCTTATTTGCAGAATTTATTTCTGCTTGATCGCCTATTCAGCTGTGTTCTTCACATATTAACGTGACCAACAAACTGTCCCTTTTTGCTAATGTGTGAAAGACTGACATTTATATCTGAATTCCTTTTTCTTCATTCTTGTTCTTTGCTTTCTTTCCCATATGTTTGTTTTCATAGCACTTGCCTCCAGATTTTGTCCTGTGTGTAGTAGCTCTCCCATAGAGAGAGGAGATTGAAGAGCTCGGTATACTAAGGGCACCCATTGCTCAGACAGACCTTGTTCTCCTTCACTTTTCTGAGTTGAACAAGCTCACCCTGGACACAGTCTATTAGGGCCAATACTCACGCCTGGGACTCCATGTGTTGCTGTCATGACAGGCTTTCATAAATTTAATAAATTGCCTTTAATAAATTGTCACATCCTCACTATATGTATCCTTAGGCTGTAATTCTTCATTTACACTTGGGCCATAGGTAGTAGTATTTGTATTCTTTGTCTCTAGTAACTTTCCTAGGACCCACTGGCTATTTTATGATTTTCTGATCTTCCCCTTCAACTTGTGCATACTTTAGATTCAAATTGTTGTTTCTCAGTCACAGTCTTTCATGATCCTGTCTGTACTTCTTAATTTCTAGATCCTAGCTCTAAGGAATGCATTACCTTTTGCTTTTTTGAGATCTTAGCATGTTTTTCTTACTCTTGAACTCTGCTCGTTTCTTGATCTAGAAACAGCAAAAAGTCTCCCCCATTTTCTAGTATCCTCCTTGATAGTAGATACTAGGTTTGTATATATCTCTTCTTCCTTACACTTTTCATGGCCTCCACATTCTCATTTTCATTTCATTTTTCATTTCATTTCATTTCATTTCATTTCATTTCATTTCATTTCATTTCTAAGACTTATCCTTTCTCTTAAGGAAGACTTGTAGCTTATTCTCCCTTTCTTCTGTTTTCATTCTTCATTACTTCTTCTCCGAAAGTAAGACTGAAACGTATTTGTCAAATCATTACAATTCTACCTTGATTCCCTGAGTAGATCAGATTCCAAGAAGATCCTAACCATGGGCCTTTTTGATTCCCTTCATATTTGCAGATAAACTCAAGATAGCATTGTCATTACAGTAAGGGTTTTTGTCCCTTTACATTTGGTTTTTTAATCCAATGCTACTGTATTTCTATAGGTAAAGGCATAGCCTGAGTATCAGGAATCTAAAGCTGTATTGAGAGTTTATGTAGTTAACAAATCCAAAGCCAACTTGAGACTATGGCTGGTACAATCCGTGAATGTGCCTAGTTGCCTTTCAGTGGTTGTTGCCCACTGGGTTAAGGTCAAAATGATATCAACTTGGAGCATAATTTCAAGACCTATTCCAGGCCTTCTCCCCTTCCAGTATCCATTAACAGTCTCTCTTAACCGTGCTAAGCAATTTCAGTTTCTTGGCCGTTTCATATAAGGTCTAAGTTTTCCATGCCTTTATCATTCAACTTGGCCTGTTGGGCTGCTAAATTTATGACAGTGTCTCAAATTATAGGGCTAAGATAGCAAAACTTATTTTATTTCAAAATAAGTCTATGCCCTTTGGTAAAAATATCCTTTTACCTTAAAATGTATTTAATTGTGAACCCTGAGAGCCCATATATTGACATTAAGTTGGGGCTTACAACACTTTTCGGGCTTCTTGGAAGGGATCATGAAACCTATAGATTTGGGTGAATAGAAAGGAAAACTTCCATGGTTTGGTTACTTTTAGTAGATAATCTTGGGGACTCTTCTTTACTGTGCTCTACTACGTGTATGTTACAGTTGCTTTTTATAAATAGTTTCACTTTTGTGTAAATATGCTTGTTTCCCATAGTTTTTCTTAACTGATATTTTGGGGCCACCAACCTGCACTCATAGCATATCACTGACCCACTTTGGTCCAAAGCCAGTTTGCACATGTCATTGGCCCTTGCTTTCAGGAATTGATATTAAAATTTTCCTTGTAGCTTATAATTAATTACATGTTTTCTGTGATCACAACATTATGATGTTTGATATTTATTTGAATTTTACTTAAACTTTGGTGGCTCTCCTGGCACACAGTGCTAGGATTCTTAAAACATCTCTTGTATTCATCTAAGAATATCATTTAGATTTGCTTGATTATATTCTATGACAGCCATCGTAAATCTTATTTAATAGGTTCAAGGAAAGGACCCTTCAGTGGATATCACTCAGGATCTCGTAGATGAATCTGAAGAGGAGCGTTTTGATGATATGTCATCACCGGGTTTAGAATTGCCATCTTGTGAATTAAGTCGCCTTGAGGAAATTGCAGAACTTGTGGCATCATCTTTACCTTCCCCCCTGCGTCGTGAAAAACTTGCACTAGCACTGGAAAATGAGGGTTATATTAAAAAGCTCTTAGAGCTTTTTCATGTGTGTGAGGATTTGGAAAATATTGAAGGACTGCACCACTTGTATGAAATTATCAAAGGCATCTTCCTCTTGAATCGAACTGCTCTTTTCGAAGTTATGTTTTCTGAGGAATGTATAATGGACGTCATTGGATGCTTAGAATATGATCCTGCTTTATCACAACCACGAAAACACAGGGAATTTCTAACAAAAACAGCCAAGTTTAAGGAAGTGATTCCCATATCTGATCCTGAGCTGAAACAAAAAATTCATCAGACATACAGAGTTCAGTACATCCAAGATATGGTTCTACCTACCCCTTCAGTCTTTGAAGAAAATATGTTATCAACACTTCACTCCTTTATCTTTTTCAATAAGGTAGAAATTGTTGGTATGTTACAGGTGAGTTAGATCATTTTATTTTCCTACTTACAGAGATACTTCTTGATTGATACCGTTTAAACTGTTAATTGATTTAGCAGAAGTAATTTATTGTTCCTTGTAAATACCTAAATTGAGTTTTGATTTTTGTCTGAAGGTATGTATGTTGGTGTTATTAGAAGAGACTATAATATTTAATACTGTGGGACCAGAGGGGTGTTATGTTTACGTCAGGGAAGGTAAATGTGATAAAGAAGTCTAGCTTGAAGAAGTTAAGGGAATGGTCTTAATGAAATGGTTGAATGTAGAATTAACTGAAGAATATAAGTTCTGTAGAATTGGTAATGCTGCCAGGTAATTATATATAAAGGGACCCAGTTTTTAGGGTCAAGGGAATACAGATGTTGGCAAATTATAGTTGCGCGTCTCCTTAGCAAAGGGCATGCATGCTTCTTTATTAGACGAGTAGGGGGAAGTTGGATGTGGATATGAGTTACAGCTCCACCTGTCACTTAATAGCTATGTGACTTGGGCAACTTTCTTAACCTCCTGAAGCTTCGGTTTCCTGATCGGAAGGATGGTGATATTAGTATCTACCCTGTAAAGTCATGTGACGATAAAAGATCATGCATGAACGTGATGTAAGCCTTTTGAGCATTATTTTAAAGTATCTATTAATATTTGCCTTATTAAACCCCAAATTTTCTTTTTACAGTATCCCCAGTCTCTCAGGTCTGGTGTTTTAGGGGTGCTTGTATCAGAATTGCCTAGGGTGTAATGTTTCCTGGATTCTGCACAAAGCACAGAAATCAAAATCTATGAGAGCTAGCCAGCAATCCACATTTGTAACACCTTCAAGGTCCAAAAACTTCTCAGGATATTATCCTATAGTGTAGGAATTAGTCTAGTCTAACCGAGATAAATCTTTGCGCTACGCGCAAAGTTCTATGATTTGTGCACGTGCCATGTTTTTTGTTTCTTTGATGCCCATGATATTGTAAGAATAACAGACAGATGATATGACTTGAAAGATATAAGACTTTACCTCAGATCTACAAATAATTGAAACCTGGTTTTGTTAAAGGAGGCAAATAAATGTCGGTAAGAGCTGCTTGATAGGACATGTTATGAATAAAGTAGTGAGTTTAATTTTTATGGTTGTTCCTTTTTAGAATATTGATGTATTTTCAGGGTTCTTGCCTTTGTCACCTTAAAGAAACAAAACTATAAGTTCAAATAAAAAAGTCTTTTTTTTTTTTTTTCCATTTTTATTTATTTTTGAGAGACAGAGCACAAGTGGGGAGGGGCAGAGAGAGAAGGAGACAGAATCCAAAGTTTAGGCTCTAGGCTCTGAACTGTCCGCACAGAATCCGATGCGGGGCTCGAACTCACAAACTGTGAGATCATGACCTGAGCCAAAGTTGGACGCTTAACCGACTGAGCCACCCAGGCGCCCCAAATAGAAAAGTCATTTTACCAACAATGCTGTCCTGGAGCTGGGAATAATTCCAGTTCATGTTGACTGATTTGACTTGTTCTCCATTCTTTTTAAGAGAGACATTTAAACAAATAATACAGTCAATACAGTGAAGGACAATAGTAATCTCTGTACCGTGTATTGTGATTGATAAAGAACAGAGAGAAGGTTCCAGTACCAATTTCTATTTGTTCTTTGATAAGCATCTAGTTTTTACTGGAGCCTCTGTTCTGGTTTCCTTGATAGTCCTGAGTGCTTCTGGTCTTTTCCTTTAGCTCCATGTGATTCTCATTTTGTTATGCAGGGATTTGTCACTTCTGTGTTTTCTTGGTCTTCATACCTGTGAGATGCCAGTTTTACTCATGAAGTATGAGTAATTTGAAGTTATTGAGTCTGTTTCCCTACAGTATGCTTTGCAAAATCTTGGCTGCCAGTGCTGTAGTTTTGTTTCTCATGATGCGGGGCCACTTAGATCCAAAGTGCTGGTACGAAGGAAAGAATTTTATAAATTTTGAAAAGGGATGATTGAGATATAATTTAAACCAGGTTCTACCCACCTTATGTACACAATCATACTCTCCCCTTACTCTTAACTGCTCTGTGTAACATTATTAAATATTTAAAAAAAAATTTTTTTTTTTAACATTTATTCATTTTTGAGAGAGCATGAGCGGGGAAGGGGCAGAGAGAGGGAGACACAGAATCCGAAACGGGCTCCAGGCTCTGAGCTGTCAGCACGGAGCCCCGACGCAGGGCTCGAACTCACAAACTGCGAGATCCTGACCTGAGCCAAAGTCGGACGCTCAACCAACTGAGCCACCCAGGCACCCCATATTAAACATTTTTTTTTTTTTAAACATTCTTATTCTCTGAACTTCTGTATCCCCAAATAGAGCAATTCAGAGAATCTTTTTCAATCATTTGATTTCCACTTGATGGGATATGTTATATCTGGGATGTGTCTTGAATTTGGGTGCCACTTGAGGTATGGTCTGTTTGTATATTTTAGAAAAAGTAAAGGTAGGATTAACCAATTTAATATCACGGAAGATGTTTCCTGAGCACGTACAACAGAGACTATGGAGTTTATGATCTAGTGGGAGATTACATACACACATATGCATATATCTATACATACGTACCAAGTATATATTTTTAACTTAGGCCTGTCTGTAGGGCTGAAGTAGTGGTTGAATCTAACACTAGCTGAGGTAGTATGGAATTAAAGTATAACAAAAATTTTTATATCAATATAGATATTCTAAGTTTATTTTGAGGGAGACAGAGACAGCATGAGGGGTAGAGATAAAGAGAGAATCCCAAGCAGGCTCTGTGCTGCTAGCTATGGAGCCCAATGTGGGGCTCAAACCCACAAACCATGAGATCATGACCTGAGGTGAAACCAAGAATTGGACGCTTAACTGAGCCACCCCAGTGCCCCAAAGTATAATAAAATCTTAGTGAAAAATAGTGATGGAGGGGCGCCTGGGTGGCTCAGTCGGTTAAGCATCCAGCTTCGGCTCAGGTCATGATCTCGTGGTTTGTGGGTTCGAGCCCTGCATCAGGCTCTGTGCTGACAGCTCAGAGCCTGGAGCCTGCTTCGGATATTGTGTCTCCCTCTCTCTCACTGTTTTTCCCCTGCTCACAACACTGTCTCTCTCACAAAAATAAATAAAGCTTTAAAAAAATTTTGTTTTTAAAATACATTTTTAAAATGTTTTATTTTTGAGAGAGGAGCGAGCATGGGAGTGTGAGCAGGGGAGGGGCAAAGAGGGAGGGATAGGATCTGAAGTGGTCTCTGTGCTGACAGCAGAGAGCCGACATGGGCTTGAACCCACAGACCATAGGATCATGAGCTGAATGAAGATGGAATGCTCAACCACGTGAACCACCCAGGCACCCCAAAGGAAGCTTTTCTTAATTTTTACCTTCATTTGAGAGGTTGTAGAACCTTACCTTCTAAAGGTAAGGTTTTAAAATCCTATGTAAATGAGGGGGTTGCGAACTATAGCCCATATCCTTTTTTATAAGTCAAGTTTTATTTGAACACAGCCACGCTCATTTACATATTGTTTATGGCTGTTTCTTACTATAACAACAGAGTTAAATGATTGTGGCAGGGACCATATGGTCCACAAAGCCTAAAAATATGCACATGGTGGCCCTTAAATAGGCTTAGGAAATTAAAGCCTTGCCCAAATATAAAGAATAATTTTCCTTTTTAAATCCCCAGTTTCTCCTTTAATAGTTTGGTTTTTCCTCTTTAAAGAGTACCATTACCAATACCATCTTTCCTTTTTCCAGTTATTGAGTTTGTACCTTCTATAGTATCTGAAAATTATGTTTTAATATACTCTTACCATTAGCATAAATTTGTCCTTTGATTTAACAGGAAGATGAAAAATTTCTGACAGATTTGTTTGCACAACTAACAGATGAAGCAACAGATGAGGAAAAGAGACAGGAATTGGTAAGAAATTTGATACTTATGAAAGGCACAAAACTAAAACAACAGATCTTTTATATTCACTTGTCCTTTTCCTTCTTTTAGGTTAACTTTTTAAAAGAATTTTGTGCATTTTCCCAAACGCTTCAACCTCAAAACAGAGATGCTTTTTTCAAGACTTTGTCAAACATGGGCATATTACCAGCTTTAGAAGTCATCCTTGTAAGTTTGTTTCTGTTTGTATTTAATTTCCATTATATTTTTAATCCACAAAGATAATATATTTTTGTTACATGCAATTATTTGGTTATAGCCAAGGTTTAATATTAGCTGTGTATTATTACATACAGTAAAAACTATGAAATTCTAGTGTTAGAGAAGAGTCCTTAAACCTTATTGAAAGAATACCCAGGAATTTTCCATATTTTTAATAATAAATTGTTAAATTTGCAGCCCATTGAAATGTGACAGAAGAAAAGTAAACAGGAATAAAAGAAAGTATAACTTTATCCACAGAACAGGTTCTACGTGCCACATTACCTTGACCTCTTTCTTACTGCATTGTTTTCTTATAATTTGTTAGGTTTTGGGTTTACGTAGCTGTAAGTTCCATATTTTTATAATTCCAGGAGAAATAAGTGCTTTTTATCTGCAGGGCATGGATGATACACAGGTGCGAAGTGCTGCTACTGATATATTCTCATACTTGGTTGAATATAATCCATCCATGGTACGAGAGTTTGTCATGCAGGAGGCACAACAGAATGATGATGTAAGTAAGAAGTTAACAGAGCAAAAAATAACCAACAAGGTAAATATTATTTGCACTAACAGTAAGTATTTGTACATGGGGAGCTGTAACTGTATTTATTATTCATTTTTAAAGATTCAAATAGCTAATATTTGGGAAAAGTGTAGCCATAATACACATGGCTTTTTCTTCCCCTAAATTGGCTCCTTAGTTTAGAAATTGTGTCTTACAGCAATTATTTGTTAATGCTCACCTTAAGTTTCTTTTTAAATTTTTGAGATCACATTTCTTAATTCTGTCATTAACTTGATATGCTATCTTATTTGAATCATTAATCAATAAATTGTTCTTCTGTATGTGGAATTATAAGTAACTTCCCTAGGAAAACATTGGCTTTGTTAGGGATAGATTCTCAAAAACACCAGGAGTGAAGAAAGGAAGCACAGTCCCTTGGAAAAGTATTTAGGGTACTTTCTTTACTGCCTGACCATTAGGGAACGAGCTGTGGCCTTGTTTACTTGCTCTCTCATACACACACACACACACACACACACACACACACGTCAATTTTAAAGTGAGAGAATCCGTAGTGTGAAGCGTGCTCCTGGAGTGTGCTATATGGCGTATGCAGCAGCCCCAAATGTGTGTGCTCTTCTGTTTTATTCTTACATATTTGATCCAATGATTCTGAATTTTTTTTCTTCCTGCTCCCATAAAATTTTAGAAGTGACTTCTAAAAATAAACTAATATGTTTTGCCCTCAACTGCATCTTGAAAGGGGAGGGAGGCATTTAGGAAAAAAAAAATCTATGCAGAATTCTTGCATTTTTTCAAATTGAGAAAATAGATTTTACTTTTTTAAAAAGTCTTAAATAAAATGTCAGAATGAAGTGGAATGCCTAGTAATTTTCTGTATTTAAGGGTTGGTCTTTTTGTTTGTTTGTTTTTTAATCGTAGTACCAGGGTAAGTGTAGAAAAGTACCAGTTTGGACTGTTAAATGTTATGTCACATTTTTCTTTAATAAGTAGTCCTATCCAGAAAACCAAGATACCTGTATTATTAAAAATAAAGGCTATTCTTGTTGTCCCTGAAACTCACTAGTTGCACATACATTAATTTAGTATGTCACTTTCATGCAGTAGGCCTCTTAATTCCCAATTTCGATCTTTATGTCCATCCTACTGCTGAATATACAGGCAAGAGCAGAGATTTCCTCACTGAATCCCTCTCTGTTTTTATTTTACTCCTTGGGCTAGAACTGCAGTCATAGAGCTTCAGGAAAACTAGCAATCAGTTTTCATTGACATTGGGAATCATTATAATACATTTGTTCTCTATGCTGTCTAAATACCATAATCTTATTTTTTCTAACTTTACACATTTAGGTGCCAACTAAATTTACTTTTAATGGAAATTTTGTATCATTTCCATAAATGGAGAACACATACAGATATCATTTGCCATAAGTAGAAAGAATCTATAGAAATGCAGTGAAAATAGAACAATGCTGTAAATTCTAGCTAAATATTCTTACTATGAAACTGAAAGCCCATTAGCTTTCTTCAGAAGGGAAATTTTGTTATCAAGAAGTACAAAGCTCTACTGGCACCAAATGAACTTTGTGTTTGCCTTAATCAAAGGGATTTAAAGATCAGAGAGAAAGAAACTTTCTTTTCTGTACTACTTAGTGTAAATGTGCCTGTAGTGTGCTTGAGGGAAACACTGCCATATATCCTGTTAAAGAAGTTAGTCATTTCTTTTGTTTGCAGTTAACAAGGCAGCTAGTATAATGCTGTAACGTGTCATAGTGTGTGCTTTTACAGTCTCACTCATAGTAAGTGATCCTTATTGTATGTACTTTTCTCACCAGGATATTTTGCTCATCAACCTCATTATAGAACATATGATTTGTGATACAGACCCTGAACTTGGAGGAGCAGTCCAACTTATGGGCCTGCTTCGAACTTTAGTTGACCCAGAGAACATGTTAGCTACTGCCAATGTAAGCCACAGGCATTTTTCTCGTTTTCATACTAGTATATTGTTTATTGCTGGTAGGAACCAATGCCGTTAAAGTTCATGGAAGTGTTTTTGATTCCTTAGAAAACAGAGAAGACTGAGTTTCTGGGTTTCTTTTATAAGCACTGTATGCATGTCCTCACTGCTCCTTTACTGGCAAATACAACAGAAGACAAACCCAGCAAAGGTAAGATAATGCAGGTTGGTAGTGAAGTTCTTTGTTTTTGAATTCTGAAATTCAGAGTTGATGTAGAGTAATAGTCTTTAAAAGTTCAAGCCATTTGGATACATTTTCAAAAAAGGTGCTCAAGGTAAAATTTCTTTAAAAGTGCTGTAATTGAAGACAATAAAATGTAATAGGAGATAATTGTTGCTTTCAGAATTTTAAAAGTTTTTAAGGCAATATTCATATTTTTTTATTTTTATTTACATAGGTTAAAAAAATAGAAGGAAGTAATTATGAAAAAAGTAATTTTGTTATTTGCACTCCAGATGTGCAGAGCAAGGCTGTGCTCACTATTAAATTCTTTCTTTCCATTGGGGATTATTCATATACTGATGACTCATTATTTCTGCATTTCATTCCTTTAGCTTGCGTGTGTGTATTTCAGAGAGTAGGTTTTTTTAATTTTTTTTTTTAATGTTTGTTTATTTGTGAGAGAGAGACAGAGCATTGAGCAGGGGAGGGGCAGAGAGACAGGGAGACACAGAATTGGAAGCAGGCTCTAGGCTGTGAGCTGTCAGCACAGAGCCCGACGCGAGGCTCGAACCCACAAGCTGTGAGATCATGACCTGAGCCAAAGTCAGACACTCAACTGACTGAGCCACCCAGGTGCCCCCAGAGAGTAGTTTTAGGATGTTCAAGGGAAATCCTTTATTGATGTTTCGAGAAGATGATTTTGTTCTCGATGAATTATCACTACAATATAACTTACATACCACTTACAAAATAAATATTAAATTTAGTTTTTTGTGACTCTAGGATTAAGTCTGGGAACCATGATAATTCATTTTTCTGTCTACTTTATTTGTACTAGGTAAAGCTTAAGGCTTTTTTCCAAACACATTTATTTAGTTCTTTAAACATTTATTAAAAACCTGTTGTGTGGAAGGCACTGTGCTATATATAATCTTTAGGGGCTAAATGGGGGAAATGAAAAAAGTAAGTAAAATACTTCCAGAAGCTTTCTGCCTGGTGAGGAAGAAAGATAAGCCAATGATTATAACTCAGTGTGGATTCATCCTGTGTAATAAAGGAGCCACAAAACATAGTGGAATCATAGGAGCAGAGAGAATAATTCCACCAAAGACCAGATGGTATCTTTCAAGCCCTCCTGTGCCATGTGTACTGTCCATCTTATGAGGGATGTGTTAAGACACGGTAGAGCATTCTTGCACCTTGGAATAAAGCAGATCTAATAGATTCATGTCTCATCTCTGCCTTGCTGTTCATACTTGGGTTTTGTGAAACAAATTCCTCTTACAGTTGCTGAAGAAAATGTAAAGCACAGTTCTTGGCACATGGTAGGATAGGAATCCATTGTTTGTTCCCTTTTCCTTAACTTGAAATTTGGGGTTGGGGCACCTGGGTGGCTCAGTTGGTTAAGCATCTGACTTGATTTCAACTCAGATCACAATCTCAGCGGTTTGTGAGGTCAAGCCCCGTGTTGAGTTCTGCGCTGACAGCTGGAAGCCTGCTTGGGATTCTCTATCCACCCCCCCACCCCCCCCCGCGCCAAGTAAATAAACATATAAAAAATACAATTTTGGATTGATAGGATTTTACTTGATTGGAATTTAGATACTTACATTTGGAAAGGAAAAGAATATTAGTCATTAAATATAATTGTGTTTTGTTTTTAGATGATTTTCAGACTGCCCAGTTGTTGGCACTTGTACTGGAGTTGTTAACATTTTGTGTGGAGCACCATACCTACCACATAAAGAACTACATTATTAATAAGGACATCCTCCGGAGAGTGCTAGTTCTTATGGCCTCAAAGCATGCTTTCTTGGCATTATGTAAGTGTTACTTCTGGTAGAATTATTTATTATTGATATATTACCATGTTGTTGGTACCTTTGGGTCTTAACTGCCTAAGAAAAGGTCATGGATTTCAGGTCAAGAGACCTACATTCTAACAGGAAACTACACTGATTATATAATTTCACCACATTTTGAGATGATTTTCCTCATTTGCATATTTCTCAGTTATATAAGCAAAGGGGTTGGTGTGCATCTACAAAATTAATATTAAAGTATTCCATTATTAAAATGGCACCTTAGATCATTTTACCTCCGTAACTTTTTTAGGACTGCATTACTAATTATAAATTAGGCGTTCCTGGGCCTCACACTAAATCATGAAGAATATTTTTGTAATTTGGAAATTTATAGCTAACAGCACTGACTTCCTAAAACACATTCCGAGTTACAAAATGCCCAGCACAAATGTCTGTAGATGGTCCATTCATTGACTGCACAAATACTTTTTTCTCGTGTTTATTTCTATTTGACAATATAACATTTTTTTGAACATATAATTTATTGTCAGATTAGCTAACATACAGTGTATATACCGTGATTCATCACTTTACATACAACAACCAGTGCCGGACAGTATAACATTTTATTACCTCTGACAATTCAGAGCAAGAGGGGCAGACTTCAGAGGTGACCAGATCCAGGCTGTGGTCTATTTTTGCACAACTTACAAGCTAAAAAGTGGTTTTCATGTTTTTTAAAGGGTTGTTAAAAAAAAAAAAAAACGCTACAGATGCCATACGGATGTGGCTTAATAAAGCCTAAAATGTGGACTTGTAAACCTTTATGGGAAAAGTTTGTCAGCTCTCTTAGAGCAACACATGGATTGTTCTTAGTTGTACACGTTTTTCAAAACTTAACTGTGTTAAGGCCCTATTTGTTGAAATAAAACATGTTTCAGAATTGCAAATAGGTTATTTGAGAATGTACTTGATCATGTAGCAGCCAGCCTTTGGTAAGTTGACAGACCAATGTGGGGGTACCTTAGAGGCTCGATAAAATATCTGCTGGTAATTTGTCTTTTGGTTTTTATGGGTAAGTTTGGTTGTTTTGTCATTGTTTAAAGGCATCACAGTCATTCACTAATTGAAGGCCTGAATATATGTATATACATGTATATCCATTTTTTGCTATTTTTTTTAACTTCTTTTACAGTTTTTTTACTTAATGGATTTTTTAAATATCCTTAACATTATAAGAACATTATTTTTATAAGGATGTGTCTGATGTTGATTTGCTCTACAATATTTTATCTTTAAAGTAGTAAGTAGAAGTAGATTTCCTTCTAAAAACATTAAACATTTTTATCAGGGTAACCGCTAGTTGACTTAGTTTTTCGGGCCAATGTACACACAGCAGTATGGACTGAGACTACACGTAGTCAGTATATTTTCATTTTCCAACTTTCAGATATTTAGTAAAATTAGTTTCTGTTGATTGTCCAGAAACTTTGATGCTACCCTTGGTAAACTTTTTCAGCCAAAAGTAACTCGGAGCATGTGTGGCATTAATCTAGACTGCTAAGAACAACAAAAAAATAAATGGGACAACAAAAAAAACAAATGCATTATCTCAGTCCTGCCTTACTAATGTACTATCCATGAGCTCAGCATTTGCAAAAGAAGGGCTTTTTAAACTCATTCACTTTCCTTCTATACCAACCACAGCAAAAGTGAGAGCCCCCTGACTGAATTGAGAGCGAATTCATAATGAACACTTCTTTCGTGTTAAAATAGAAGGTTTTGTTCAAGTGCGGGGAAAGGCAGTTTAGGACAGAATGGAAAAACTAAATAAATGAGTATGTTGATCATTTATTTCAATAAATGTATCAAGTACCTACTATCCTATTTTGTCAGTACTAAGCTCTGCATTTTAGACATTTATCATCTGTGAGATCAAGGTGAGTCTTAAAATTAATGGCATGTTGTTGTGAATGATAGTTTGGTTGGTTTGGTTTTCTTAGAGTAGAAAAAGTTTCTTGTAATCAGTGGCATCTTAGACTTGAAGTATGCTAAATACCTGGTACAAAGAAAATGAAGATGATTAAGACCTGGACTCAGCTGTCAAAGGGATCAGAGTTCATTAGGAGATAGTCCTGTAAAAATCAAAATACAATGCCCTAAGTACTATATTGAGGTGTGTTTGGAAGCATAGTGGAAAGAATTTATTCTCCACGAATGAGTCAGATCAGGAAAATTTTGCAAAAGAGGTAAACTGGGTTGTATTGGTCATGGGAGAATGTGACATGCTTGGTTGAATACACAGCTAATGTGCAGATGTGGGGAAAGTGTGACATGTTAATGGTTTGGTGTAGGTAGAACACGAGTCCAGTGGGAGAGTGGCAGGAGAGGGATAAAAAAGGCTTTTGGTTCGCAGTTCTTGATCTCATTATTTTGCTTGCAGTATCATCAAGAAAAGGTCTCAAAATTTAATGAGAACGATGAAGAGATTTCATTCAGGGAAGGTTTATATTGTAGGAAAACCTTAGTTATGCTTTATTCTTCGCATTTTCCGAACGGAGTTAGCATTAAACCTAACTCACTCTCAAATTATTCTCCGTGTGGCTGTCTTCCCAGATTGAGAACATGAGTAGTTTCTGGAAGAGGATGCCAGTCATAAGGAATAAGCACTCTAGGACTGGCTGTAGAGTATAGAGTAGGAGTTTTTGATCGAGGATTTCTTAAAGAACGAAGTATAAATTTGAGGAGATGTAGAACATTTTCAGTCTGCTAACATCACATTGAAAGAAAACGTTAGGTACAGTGTTCATTATAAGTGAATTTAGACGCCAGATTATAAGGACAGCAGGTAACGAATGAGTGGTTAAATGTAAACAAGTTGGGAACTTCACCGAACTTGCCTTTTTTTTTTTTTTTTTTTTTTTTTTTTTTTTTTAAATATCCGCTGCTTATTAGAAGGCTTTTATCCTAAAGCCAACAAATTGGTTCTGTAGGGGAGACCAGCAGTCCTTTCACAATGTACGCCTTTATAGGTTAGATATATACATAGAGCAGTTTTATCCGTCTTATTTCCTTGGTTTTTCAGGGTTCATGTCTAGTTTTTTTGTTAAAGATGTGGACATCTATAAAAGGAATGAAATAAAAATGTTACTGTAGATGCTTTATTTGGCCATCATTAGTTACATATGAGGCAAGAAGTCTCAACTTGTGACACGAAATCTCCCGTTGTGTGAGGTAAAGAGGAATGACTTTAGAGATGATTGAAACGAAGCACCAGAGATTCCTGGAATGTTGATAAAGTTTAGAGGGAAGCATGGAAGCAGAGTGCACTTTACATCGAAAGTCCTCCAGTTATGCTGCTGTGGCCTCTCCCAGAAGCTTTCTCTAATTTACTCTGAGCAACTTGACTTGATAGAACTCACTGGTAAATTTTTGAAAGCAACCTTTATTCAACAGCAAGTAGTGGTTGGATACTCTTGATGCAGGTTTGCTTTTGGGGAAGACTTTGAGTGGACGTGACCCACTTCTGGATATAAATAAATGAGGGCAAATGGAAAGGAGGAACAAAGCAAAGACCAGTAGAACCATCTTCCATCTACACCAGCAGTTTCTGGACAGAACTGCTCTTGAGGAAATAGTGGTCCCACTGCACGCCTCGGTCTTAGTGAATTCTAGGAAGGGAGTTTCTTACCAATTAGGAACCGCACGCAGACCACAGGGTGCAGCTAGTGTGTGTTATGGTAGGACACAAGTCTCCACAAAGCCTGCAGAGTTCAGAGTACTGATTCTTGAAACAATAGCTCGTGCCTTAATTACTAAAAACTGAACATCTGGCCTGAGCTCCAATGGATTGTTTTTTATTCTGACAGATGGAACTGCCTCACTAAGTTCCTTTGTCAAGTGACATCACAAAAAAACCAAACTCTAAAATCACTGTTTTGGGAAAATAAATCCTTATTAGGCTTGACTTAACACACAGGTGCCTCTTACTGTTTAAAATGTCTTAATTTCACCATACTTTTGTATTTGAAAATAATTCAGTAGTTGAAAAAAAATGCAATTACTCTTCTATACATTATTTTGAAATTCCCTGCCCAGAGTGTCACTTTAGAAAGAGACACTCTTCAATAAGTTGCATTGTTAAGGCAGTTTATAACCAGCTTGTACCTAAATGGGCATTCACTTGTGGACCTCTTTTCTGCCAACTAAAGAAAAATTGAGCTGCTTTACTCCTCTGCCTTCCCACCCAGAAACCGTGTCAGCATGGTTGCCTGGCTACCTGCTCATGAAGGACTTGATTAATAACAAATTGGCAATTTAACGAGCCACTTCCATGATCTCCAAAGAAACCAAAATACAAACACAATAATTAATCTTGCCAACCGAAGACGATGTGACTGCATGAAGTGAGTATGCTTTTTTGAACTGTTTACAATAACTGGGGCATTAACTTACTGATAAACTCCATTTAGGTAAAGAGGGTTTGTCTAGCTGTCTGAGTATATTTGGATCTTGATGAATGGTGACTTTAACTCCCCATACCTCAAGATGTAAATATACCTTTTAATCTGTAAGTTAAAGCCTAATTAATTGTAAAAAGGAAAATTAGGAAAAAAAGTTAAAAAGCATACTCGCTGCAATAAGCCTAGAGGACCACGTTTTAAAAGCAACATTCTCTAAATTTATTTCAAAATTATGGGAAGGCAAGTTACGGGTCATGCAGAGTTTTGTGGGTTTATAGTAGTGCTCCTGACACATTGACAGATCAGCCATCGTAAACCCAGAACTCTGATGCAGAATAGTAAGAGTGTCCAAAAATAATGAATATCAAATTATACGTGGATTGCCCTAATAAAACAATGGTTTTTCTGTTGTTTTCAAGGTGACTGTAGAAGGACATATTTAGAATTTTCTCATCTTTAGTATAAAGCTTAATTCATTTGTCAGCCCTGTTTTAGCTCTTATTTTAGATGTGAAGTACATTTTGGTCATTAGTAGGCTCCAGAATATTTCCACTCTCTGAGACTTGTGTTCTATCATGACATACACTATTTCCAGAATACATTTTTCTGGTAACCCTTTTGTGATCCCTGTTCCTTAGGTACATACTTCTGGAAGCGGTAACCTAACACTGCACGAAGAATTATTTATTACACAGGTTTTTTTGTTTTGTTTTTTTTTTAATCTAAAATATGGAAGTGGGGTATATAATTTGAACAACGATGCCTCTGTGTTTCAGGTGCTCTTCGTTTTAAGAGAAAGATTATTGGATTAAAAGATGAGTTTTACAACCGCTACATAATGAAAAGTTTTTTGTTCGAACCAGTTGTCAAAGCGTTTCTCAACAACGGATCCCGCTACAATCTGATGAACTCTGCCATTATAGAGATGTTTGAATTTATTAGAGTGGTAGGTTCTGTATTTTCCAGTTAGAATTTTGGTTTTAATTGAGAATACTGAATATGCATTACTGATATTGTGGCTTGAGATTATACTTGGAGAAAATTTTAAAAAGAAAACCCATGTAACCAGAAGCTTGTAAGGGATTCAGTTCAAAGTAATACAGTCTCTCAGCAGCTGTGAATCCTTTACAGGATAGTTTGACGACTGATTTAACACTGTCATGGTAATCATTTTAAGAAAGTAGAATTAACAAAAACCACATCAAAACTTTGAGGGCTTCTGAATTGTGACTTTTCCCTATATACTTTCAAAGAACAATTTCAGGGGTGCCTGGGTGTCTCAGTTGGTTAAGTGCCGACGTCAGCTCAGGTCATGATCTCACAGTTTGTGGGTTTGAGCCCCACGTCGGATTCTGTGCTGACAGCTCAGAGCCTGGGAGCCTGCTTCGGATTCTGTGTTTCCCTCCCTCTCTGCCCCTCATCCACTCGTGCTCTGTTTGTTTCTCAAAAATAAACGTTAAAAAAAATTTAAAGAATAATTTCATTACAGACTTCTGAATCTTTAGTAATAGAGTAGGCTAGTGGTTCTCAGTGTGTTAGAATTATCTGTGACATGCTTTAAAATTATGGTGAAACATACATAATGTGAATTTGCCTTTTTAAAAAAAATATTTGAGCATGGGTGCAGCTCATGACCTGAGTTGAAACCAAGTCAGGTGCTTGACCAACTGAGCTGCTCAGAAACCCCCAAAATTTGCCTTTTTAAAAAGTGTACAATTCATCGGCATTAAGTGCTCTCACACTGTTGCGCAACCATCACCACCATCTGTCTCTAGCACTTTTCTGTGATGTGCTGATCCCACCCCACACTTACTTAAATTTAAGAATCATCTGGGGTGGGACCTGGGCATTTACTTGGGGAAGACCCGTTAATTCTGAGATACACCAAAAATCAGAGACACTTTGGTACGTAGCATAGCCAATTATGCCCATTTTCAGAATTTGATTAAGACTGGCTTAAAATTTTATGAAGTTCATCTGTTTGGGGCAGGTTATTGAATTCTCTACAATTAAGCCTCCTCTCAGCAAAAGTAACATTTTCCTATTGTATGTTTTCATTATAATTCTTTTCTGTAGGAAGATATAAAATCATTAACTGCTCATGTAATTGAAAATTACTGGAAAGCGCTGGAAGACGTAGATTATGTACAGACATTTAAAGGATTAAAACTGAGATTTGAACAACAAAGAGAAAGGCAAGATAATCCCAAACTTGACAGGTAAATTACTACATTTTTTAATCTATTCATTCAAGTTTGACGGTGGTGCCTCTTTCTGGCCTGGCTGGGGGAGGGAGGGATGGGATAAGCAGGAGTTGTAGTTTTCTGCAATGGCCAACGCGAATGTTGTCCTGAAGGTGTAGGTGGATATTGGCTTGGTCTTGGACTCTTCTTTAGGCATTTATCAGACTAGATAGTGAAAAAGAAAACCCAACACTTATGTGGCAGTGGGGCTTCATTGATTTGCTTTGAATTACTTTGTTACCAGTTACTTAAGAAATCTCGTATATTTTTCTAAATGCCTGAATTCACATACTTACGGTAGATTTTAAAATCCATGAATTAGGATTAATTCCTGATGTTAACAAGTTTAATAACTGATCCATAATACTAGAGATGGTGGACTTTTTCAATCATATATGAAAAATCTGGTTGGGTAGAGTCTGGTTCTTCATTAGCCTGTGTATAAATCTGTTCTCTCCTTGCTCTGTTAAGACGGTCTAATTCGAAGCACCACTTTGAAGACTGTCTAAAGGAGTCTGTGGAGGAGTCGGTTTACTTTCTTCTCTTTACTCCTAGCATGCGGTCCATTTTGAGGAATCACAGGTATCGAAGAGACGCCAGAACACTAGAAGACGAAGAGGAGATGTGGTTTAACACTGATGAGGATGACATGGAAGATGGTGAAGCTGTCGTGTCTCCATCTGACAAAACTAAAAACGATGATGATATTATGGATCCAATAAGTAAATTCATGGAAAGGAAGAAATGTATGTTGAAAAGCTGGGCAAAAATGACAGCTTTCCCACCCTGGTTTCTTTCTTTCTTGAGAAAACGAGTATCTACTTTGTGTCGTGACCTAGATTTCAAAGACTTAGTTGCTTTACAGAATGTGACTTAATGGCTGGGGGTGAAAGCATGGACTAAATTTTCTTAATTTGACTTGACTTAGGAGAACTAGATTATTTCGGGAAGGGTGGAAACACTGGATACAGAAGGAAGGTTTCATCCCTTCTCAGTAGCGTGTTGAACATGTGTTTTCCCCCAGCAAAGGAGTAAGCTAGGAAATTGTGTTTAGTGCCACCTCATTTGGGGGGATTAAAAAAAGACAAGTATGGGTGACAACTATTGACAATATTCTTATTTTTAGTAAAAGAAAGTGAGGAAAAAGAGGTGCTTCTGAAAACGAATCTTTCTGGTCGGCAGAGCCCAAGTTTCAAGCTTTCCCTCTCTAGTGGAACAAAAACTAATCTCACCAGCCAGTCACCTGCAGCAAATCTGCCTGGTTCGCCGGGATCCCCGGGATCCCCAGGATCTCCAGGCTCTCCTGGATCTGTCCCTAAAAGTACATCTCAGACGGCAGCTATTACTACCAAGGTACATTTTGACTTCCAGGCCTTTCTCATTTAATCTGGTTCAACAGTAACTGTGACTGAGATTTCCTTTGGGTACTGTCTTTTGGAACTGATCAAACCTTTCTGAACTAGAGGGAATGAATAATCCTCCCACTACTACCTGAATGTATGCAGAACTTGAGCAATTTCTGAAAGTTTTTTATGACCAATACCAAAGTCTGAATAAATTATTTTGGTGGTTTGCGTTTTAGAACTCCGGTTCAGATTTGTTTCAAAACATACACAAAATTTTAAAGTTATTCTTTATCAACTTTCCCAATTAACACCCAGATAAAGACTTGTGTGGAAGAAAAATAAATACCTGGACATTCCCAATATAAAAAAGAATTAACCATCATCTCTTTTCATATAAGAAAGGATCAAAATTTTAACACCAAAAATGTGGACAAGACATAATCTTAGGATAAAAACCTATTCCCTGGGTCACCTTATGCTGCCCAGGACTAGCAGACTGGGCATTTGGAATTCGTTGATCTAAATCGGGAATACAGTGCCCCACCCACAGTTGTTTTTTCTTTGACAATTGCACGAGACCCCTAAGGGCTAAGAAGTGAATTTGAGAGATGCTGAAGTGAAGGGACCACAGAGCAGTGGGACTTCTTCCACAGCCTCCTAAATAGAGCTGCAGTGGTTTCTGGCGAAGGCACGGGTCTAAAAGGAAGCTGGAAGGAAAGGCAGACTCCCTTTCCTAACTTCTAATGGTCTGCCCTCCTGGTCTGTTGATCTTCTGTAGTTTGTTAATGCACTATTAAATTTTAAAACATTTTTTCAATTCAGTAATTACTGATTCCATCTCCTGGGTGATTTGTTAGGATTATAGACTAAAAATTTTATTACGGAAAATACAGTGAATTTCAGTTGCATCTAATCTCGCGTAACCACACAGTATATTGGGAGGGGGGAATCTGTATCCTTTATCTAGACTTAAAATATGTGCTGGAAATGTAGTTTAAAAAAAAAATAAACCTTATTTCTGAACAGGGAGGCCTCGTGGGTCTGGTAGATTATCCTGATGATGATGAAGACGATGATGAGGATGAAGACAAGGAAGACACGCTACTGTTGTCAAAGAAAGCAAAGTTTGAGTCCTAATAATGGCAACTGCCTCTGATCAGTACCTGTTGAGAAAACTGGTTCTCTACCCCTCCCCCCTACAAAATCCATAACAAAGCAGTGGTCTCTTGTGAATGACTGATCCAGATCAGCCTCCCACACTTGACTTCTGCTCATCAAGTGCCAATTCAATGGAGCAGGAGGAGGGGATATTATACATTTAGGGGAAAGACTTAAGCCTTTGAGCTCTCCAGCTTGGACCACACATTGCCCTTTTCTCAGGGAAGGAAATGGAAACAAAAAGCCAACAGGGCAGGGGTTTTGTAAGTGGAACTCTGGATTGACTGGTCAGTTGCTACAATCAGAATATGCTTTCTCGGACCACGTTTGAGACTCAGAAGAATAGGCTCTTGTGCCCTGATTCTTCACTAGTTAAGAATGCCAGCAGTTTCTTTGTATAAAGAGACCTGCCTTTAAAATCATACATTCTGAGCATTTTAGTCAAGCTACAACAGGTTTGGAAAACCTCTTTGGGGGAGGGGCGAATATAAAGTTTCCTCTTTTTTATCTGTTCCCTTTGCCCTTCAAACTGCAGATTTTTTTTTTTTTTTAAAGTGGGGATTTGTCCCTACTTGATTAAAGATTGAGTGGAATTCTAGATGTGGTCATTTGTGTCATAATTTTTTGGTTTCATTTTGTTTTTGATTTTTTTCTCCCCCGAGTGTATGCTTAGTTGTTGAGTATATATATTTGGGACCATTAAAACTTTTTTTGATGTAATATAACCTAACGTTGTGCTGGTACCTGTTTTACCATGTGTAATTTTTGTTCTACATCACAGTTCTTAATTTGTTTAGAGTTTTATGAAAGATGGTATAGTTTTTATTGACAAAAACAAAGTAATCTTACAACTATGTGCATACAAAAGCAATACTATTTTGTGACTAAATATTTTATATTAAAATTTACATCAGCAACTGTCTTGAGAATTCAGGGAAATAGAGTGGAATTTAAAATTTCAACCATTTTGTTAAACCTAGAAACGTGAAATTAGTATTCCAAAGAGATTCTGAAATTTCATATCTTGGGAAAATGACGGTACATTAAATCTAAATTGAGGCTGGATGATTTAAAAATAACATATTTGACTTTTGAATAATAAAAAAAGTGAAGAGTAAGAGAAATTGTATTAGTTGTATGTTTCTTTTCTTTTTTTTTTTTAACTACTCCCTTTGGAATACCAGCTGGAGTTGTAAGTGGTGGTCCCTAAATAAATACGTGGCCAAAGGACCATCAGCTATCACCTTAGTGCAACAGTATTTTTAAATAGGTTCCTTTTATTGTCGTAGGTGTTAAAATTCTTTTAAGGAAGTGAAAACATACCTTGACATCACATACCCTCACTTTTTTTTTTTAATAAGCTTTTAGAACTTAAGAATGGGTTTACAAATGTGAATAAAAATCCATATCCAGGAAATGATACTATTTTAAGTATCATTTTTAACTGAGTTAATCTAACAAGCACTGTGTGCTTCTACTCTTTTGCTTAGTCCTCAGTAAATTCTAACATGTGGTACCAAAAACAAGGTTATATTTAATAGTTGGAAAGAAGACCAGGAAGTGATAACTTGTTACAGTCATGAAACAAGTTTTATTGTTGGCTGTTTTTTTAAACAAATTTTGGGTGCATAATTAACTATAAGCATTTAAGTGTATTTCACTACAGTCTAGAGATACTTCTGAGACTCCAGTTCTGGCTATTAATAAAGTTAATCAAGTTACCTTATCAATAAAGCGAAGAAAGATCTTAAGTTTAATTATATTACGTCTTCCTTTGTTACCTAGCAAGTCCCATGTTTGTGCCTTAACCGTACAGTTTAAACTCACTGCTCGTTGGGCTCCTGGAACACAACTTGTCTTGGTGTTCTCACAGCTCCTGAGTAGAGGGGAGGAGCACCCCATGCTTTCATAAATTCTGGTCCAGTAGTTAAATTAACTATTGGCCCTTAACAGGTAAGAGATACCCCCTCATTGATGGATAGTTGCATTTTCTCAGTTATTAGCAATTACAGGTACTGAAGCAGAAAACTGACACCAACTGCTATAATAGAAATTAGTTCTAAAACAGCTGGTCACTTTGCAGAGAGAAACTTAGCAATAAATTGCTAGAAGGACAACATTTGAATTGACAGGTCCACCTGACTCAAAAGCCTGTACTGTTGAATAGATACGGTCTTGAAAACAGATGTAAATATAATGGTGTGAAGTTAGAAATCCTTATTTTCCATTTTAATGATACCTACTGGCTCTTTTGCTCATTTTGCAGTGCTTAAAATGAAAAACAAAAATTGCATTTCTGTGGTGTGATTTCCCAACAACTTCTGAAAAACACAATTACCTGCATGAAACACCTTGATATCCTGTCTGGTCCAGAAATGCCACCCTGGCTTTTTTTTTTTTTTTTTTTTTTTTTTTTTTTTTTTTTTTTTTTTTTAAATAGAATTGAAGCCTGATAGTTTTTTCCCTGACTATACTCAAATCTTGCACATGATTTTCTCTGGAAGTCAGTTTTTGTGAATTTGGAAATGAAGGAGAGAACCATGGAACAGGGGACACATTCCTCCTACTTTTGTCCTTAAGCAGTAGTCTTTGTAAAGTTACCAAGATTAGAATAGCAAGCGGTTGATATTAGAAGATCTCTTTAAGTGGAAAACTTTTCCGTTTCTCAACAGAGTTTTGGTATTTATCATAACTGTTTAAACAGCACGGTCAAAATCACTTCTGGAGGAAAATTTAGGACCTTCAAAATTCTTATATACAAGGTTATATTAACTTTTTCTGCCATAATATCCATTTTGAGCAAGAGGATTATAAAAACAAATTTGTATGGGCTGGATTATTGTCTGCTGTTATACTGGGACACTCAGAGAACATGGGGAAATGGGGAAATAGTATATTGTGATACCCAGTATAAACTAGTAAGCCAGTTTGATTCCTTTCTCTGCCTTTCATCTTGGCTCCTGAGAATAATTCTGAAAGGAAACTGTAGAGCGCCTCTCTTCAGATAAATGTCTAGTGGAGTCAGATGTCTTGGTCCTTAAAATAGCTCTGGTTGGAGACAAGTTTACTTGACCTTTTTGCTGTCCTAGGTAAGTTCTTCCATCGACTCGTAGGGAACATGGATTTCTCCAACATGATGCTGAATGGGTTTTGATTTAAATTCTATTCCTACTCTTCCAAAGACACTGCTCTAGTGTAAGTCACATTCTACCTACAAATTTGGAGTGGACCCTTGTTCCATCCTTACGTATATTTTTTAAAGTTTATTTTGAGAGAGAGCGAGAGGGGCAGAGAGAGAATCCCAAGCAGGCTCCGCATTGTCAGTGCAGAGCCCCACGCCAGGCTCGATCTCACGAACCATGACATGACCTTAGCCGAAATCCAGAGTCGGACACTTAACTGACGGAGCCACCCAAGCACCCCCCGCCCCCATCCTTATGTTTCTTGACACTTCGGTCAAATCTTTAAGCACGTGGTGTTAATAGAGGCCAAGGTATGGAGAAGACCGTGGACAGTAGCAGATGCTCTCTTCCTTTGATAGCTCCCTTGTTTATCCCTTAAATGCTGGGATTCTCTACTGCCCCGTCTTGGGTGCTCATCTTCCCAAGCTCCAGCCAGGGCATGCTAATGTCCCTGTCCAATCATGCTGTGCCCTACAAGACTGCCTAATCTGTCATGTGCCCCTTTGAATGCTCTTCTTGCCTTGCCTGCTGATAAACTTACATTCATCTTTCAACCTTGGGAAGTGCGCCCCTGACACTACGCCTTCCTTGAGGAAGGGGTTATATCCTCTTCAACTTTGTTTCCATAGTACCTGGCAAGATACCCAGCCCACAGATGGCTCTCCAAAATGTTTACTGGGTGAATGAAAGATGGAGTAAGGTGCACACAGATTATACACACTGGGGAAGTCTTTTGGCTGATGCCCTTACGTAGTTAAGAGTTTGACTCCTTGACCATGAGATTCCCACTCTGTGGATATAAGGGGAAGACTCGAGACCTCTGTCCTGTCTCCTGTCCTGCCTCAGGTTAGAAATACCAACAAAGGGCTATCTCAAGTTCACAGAATTACCCTATATTGAGTTATTTCAGCAACTCCTAAAATTCTGTTTAGGCTTTCCTGGTCTGTTCATCCCTGGCTCCAGCACCTTTAACTCATTCTCTCTCTTACTGGTCTTTCGATCATAGATCTTTGCCTGTAAGTACAGACCCCTGCCTTTTATCACTGGACCAAGCCATGAGCTACCAACTCCAAACAACACTTGCCTATTGGGATGGAGTGTTTATTAAGCCTCATTCTATTAAACTTTTACATCTTGGCATATTTCCTGGAACATGAGATCCTAGAAGGCGGGCCCCAGATTTATGCGATTCTCTCTTGTGCAGCTATTAGAACACAGATGGTAGGTAGACGGCACATAGGTCAGGCAGATAGATTTCCTATGTAGGATTGATCAACTGATACTTCTCAGTAACTTGATGAAAGGGATTCCTTTTCTTTATTTCTTAAAGAATAATTCATTTTAGATAAAGAGCCTGAAAAATGTGATCAAAAATTGCAGCACTGAATTTTATCACCAAATATCTTTCTACAGGAATGTGTTTCTGTTGCCTTACAGAAAAAAAAGCAGATTAATTTTACTTTAATGTTACTGTAATTCGTGAATTGCTACCTCAGGTGTTCTCATTCTAACTTGTAAAGCACTACTCTAGAGGAACATAAGGAAATCATGAGACAGTTTATTAACCAGCCTCCAAGATGGTTCTGTCGGGTTTGTACTGTGAGGTAGGAGTTCCATCAAAACTAAGAGCCCAGAAAAATTTGGCCTTTAGAATTCCCAGGTGGCTTTCAAAAAGTTTAGGTAGGGAATGTGAGGAATTGCTATTAGTGAAAACCTTTCACTGAAGTCCACCCCCAAGCCCCTGACCCTGACCCCTTTTGAGACCTCAGGAAGAGGTCTGTCTATTCTGGAAGACCGCGATGGGGGTAGATAAAATAAAAGAGGCTGAAGGAGCGCTCAGGAAACCTCACAATATGTGCTCCATGCATACCGGGTGGTGACTGGATTCTAACAGCAGGTTTCCTGGTAGAAAGTGGTGAAAAGCCGAGGGCATGGACAAAGTACCTATGTGGCAACAGCATAGT